AAAAAAAAAAAAAACAAAAAAAAAGAAAAAGAAAATGACTTGCTTGGTTATCTTTTGAGCAGCCTTATTATACACAATGGACCATTGCAACTTGAGTATCTCAGTCCTTTATCTCACCCCCTCGGGCCTCCCATGCCTTTCCCTCTTCTCACATTTGCCAGCTGCTTAGGAGACCCTCCCACTTCTTCCCACATTTTGTTTTTTCATCTTCCCCAAATGTTTCTCTAAATCAGCATCTTCAATCATATACTCTCATCTGTCATCTCTCTTCAGGAGATAACATGACAGCTATTATAACATCTAATGAGTGTTTATGCTATGACAGGTCATTTGCAGACATTATCTAACTTAAGTTTCAAAACAAACATTCTTAGTCTCATTTTTAATTTGAGACACTTGAAAACCAGAGAAATTAAGATACTGATACAAGGTCACACAGTTAGTAAATAGAAGGACCCAGATTTGAACCCAGGCTGTCTTCTCCACCATTATTTTCCACTCCTCATCAATACTGGCCTATAGTTTTGCCTTCTTCAGGAAGCCACTTCAGATCATTCGGTAAAGTATGATCCCCTTAGAGTCATCCTTGTGACAATTACATTTTTCTCTGCATAATGATGACTTGTACCTTCCACACCCATATACTATTGTGTTATGGCTCTTTAAAAGAAATACTGTTTACTGAATTTGTATCTCCTTTTGTGTTAGCCTAGTACATGCAAAATCGCTATCAACAGTGTTGCCAACATCAATGGAAAAGAAATCATCTATAGAGGTGTATTCTCCGAGGATACCGTAATATCCTGTTTATTTCCAAATTTGATCAGCGTATAGGTAGAAGCAAACCCTAGGGCATCACCACATATGAAAGAGCATTCTGAAGAACATGGCTCAGAATACAGCAATAGTATATTCAGGGGAAAAACTTATTAAACAAGGCTTTATTCCTCGTCTACTTGGATAGAGAAAAGATCTCATATTTGCAAACAATTGTTCAGCCCTAGATATGAAAATCCTTCCTGACTGGAGAGACAGCTGAACAGTTAAGTGCATTTGATGCTTTTGCAGAAGACTTGGTTTCAGTTCTCAGAACCCACATAGCAGCTCATAACCATCTGTTACTCCAGCTCCTGAAGGGCCAATGACCTCTTCTGGCTTCTATAGTCACCAGGCATGTGTGAGGTGTGCATACATTCATGCAAGCAAAAACACTCATACATATAAAATAACTAAACAAATCTTTAAAAATAAAACCATCTTGAAAGAAAAAATAAAAATTCTTTCTAAGAGGTTTGACTGACTTAAGTTTAATAAAGGAATATTCCATCTGTTAAGAAAGTATTTATATATTTCCAATGAAATAATATAAAAATGAAACTATTGGTATCCTAACTATTTTATCCATTAATCCACTGAGCAAACATCAATAAAGCTAGTGTGAGCAAGTTAATTTTACAAGAATTCGAACCGGTTGATGTTAAAAATCTCTCCATTGTGACATTAATTCCTAAAAGAAAAAAGTGTGTATATGTGTGTGTGTGTGTTTGTCTCATAGACACATTTAAACTTAGTTTTAGTTATAAACCATACCAAGTACAAAGATAAAATGGTAACATTTTTCTTTTCCAGCTGAAATAGCAGAAGATGATTTACCCAAAAGATTCTGCTGGCTCTTTCTTGAATTTGTTGGTTTCTGTTTTTTGTTTTTTTACTTTTTATGGAAACATACATATTGGGGAAAATTATAAAGGCCACTCCACGTAGTTAAAAGGAAGATTTATTTAGTGGATGACTTACAAATGAAAGAATGGATAGGTCGCGGGGGTCTGGGGAAGGCGTATAGCAATCCAGCGGTGTTCTCTGGAGCTCTGCACAATCAATCTCCACCATCCAGGGTCCAGGCGCAGAGAGCGCGCCCAGAGCGAGCGCTTGCCCATCCAGCTCCTAGGTTTCCAGCACCTCCCCTCGCCCCGCCTCGTAGGCGTGACAGTTGCCAGAGTCTCAATGGGGGTTGGAGCTTCCAGATCCAAGCTGGAATGGCTACCCACTACACATACAAATTATGTTTATACAAATTATGAATAGCAGTTCAGAGTTAGTGTTTCATAGGAGATCCTGAGCATGGATTGCTACCTCGCAAGAGCACAGAGTGCTGGTTGTTCATGTCAAGTGCTTAGATGACTTGAGTGAGTCAGTGAGCCCGAGTTCATGATGAGTTCATGATTAAGAAGTAATTCATGAGCCGGACGGTGGTGGCGTACGCATTTAATCCCAGGACTCAGGAGGCAGAGGCAGGCGGATCTCTGTGAGTTCGAGGCCAGCCTGGGCTACTAAGTGAGTTCCAGGAAAGGAGCAAAGCTACACAGAGAAACCCTGTCTCAAAAAACAAACAAAAAAAAAAAGTAATTCATGGAGCTGCATTTTGGAATCTAAAAGCATCCTGTTCCTCATTAACTTTTCACCAAATAGTTGGTAGTTGGTTTGTTGAGAAAGAATCTTTTCTTTCTTTCTTTCTTTTTTGTTTTTGTTTTTTGTTTTGTTTTGTTTTTGTTTTTGTTTTTTT